AGATGGATCCGGCCTCCTTCCAGGTTCTGAGGCAGGCCTCACTTATTTGTCCAGGAGACACAGTTTTAATCTGCTAAATCCATGGATGCTAGTTCTTTCAGTAAAATCTTTACAAGAACTGCATTTGTCCTTAACATGCCCCTGTCTGAGGCAAAATAAACATGTTGAATGTTCATTGCTGAGGGGTTTAACCACCTCAGACAATGAACAATATTTAAGCCCAGGAGACTTCTGGCCCCACATGGAGCTAATTCCTGGTACTGGATGAGGAAAACAAAGAGAGAAATGTGGTCACCTTAATTAAAACCAAATGTACACAACATTATCAAGTAGTTACAAAAAACTTAATGAGGAGAACTGCAAGTGCAAGAGACTGGATGCTGCTAACTGGTTCCATCTCATAGCCAGGTGGTAAGATGAAACTGAGGGCTGGTTAGTTGCTTTGCCCCCGTTATGCTCTTGGATGGGGGACTCCAGGGCAGAAAGGGCGTAGTCATGGCCCGGTGGACATGGCTGGCTAAAGCGTTCCAATCTCCAGCACACTTGGTGCATGGGCACCAAAAGTGGAATACACACAAAGTGCTTGAAGAATTTCAGGTGCTAAAACAAACCATTTTAAAAATTAATGAGGTTTTATTTAGGTTTCTAATGTAAAAAGTCTTTTTGTATATCATTTTCTGAAACTGACAAATTAACCATTGTAAAGGGGCTTGTGTGTGCAAATATAACTTTTAAATCTCTTCATTGTTCTGTATCCAGATATGTGAACCGGCGTATTAGTGGACAGGGTGCATTAAGGGTAAATAATGGGAGAAGAGAGTTGAATCCATCACAACTTTGAGTCTTTCCCCAAAAATGTTAGGCTCCGCTCTCCAGGACGGACTCTTCCTCTTAGCTCACTTTCTCCACCCCATTCTATTCCTCTTCCCCCAAGGTTGAACATTAGGAATGCATTGTCATCTTCACATTTTGAATTTCCAGGCTTTCCATGGTATATCACACAACCTAAAGTTAAACTTTTTTAAAACCTAAAGTTGTGCTGAATCAACACTTCTGGAAGCAGCACTGGGTCCAGAGTGACTGAGCAGAGGCTGCCAAGTGAGCAAGACAAGAGCCTCAT